TTTCTCCTATTCTTCTCTGCAGATTCTCTCAAGCTCTTTCAGGTTGGATGGGAAGCATCGCTGCACAGCTATTTTCAGGTCTCTCCAGAGATGTTCGATTGGGTTCAAGTCCGGCCTCTGGCTGGGCCACTCAAGGACATTCAGAGACTTGTCCCGAAGCCACTCCTGCGTTGTCTTGGCTGTGTGCTTAGGGTCGTTGTCCTGTTGGAAGGTGAACCTTCGTCCCAGTCTAATGTCCTTAGCGCTCTGTAGCAGGTTTCTCTCTGTACTTTGCTCCGTTCATCTTTCCCTGGATCCTAACTAGTATCCCAGTCACTGCCGCTGAAAAACGTCCCCACAGCATGATGCTGCCACCACCATGCTTCACCGTAGGGATGGTACCAGGTTTCCTCCAGAGGTGACACTTGGCATTCAGGCGAAATAGTTAAATCTTGGTTTCATCAGACCAGAGAATCTATTTAAATCAATTTTAGAATAAGGCTGTAAGGTAAGAACAGTTGGAAAAGGGAAGGGGTCTGAATACTTTCAGAATGCACTGTAGTTCTCAGCTATAGCTCGAATCAGAGTTGTATTCTTTTTTCTTTGTTTCACAATGCCAAATGTCACACGAACTAAAATGCCCAAACAAAACCACATGTCCATGCAAGTAATTTGTTTATTGGAGAAAAATGTTCACGTTTAATCCATCTATGATAATCATGAAGCATCACTTGTATGTTCCCAAACTTTATTTTACTTTCGTTTTGGTCTTCCAACAACATGCGGGAGGAAACAGCTCAATAGCTGTTCTAACTGCAACGTGAATAGCCTATATTCAGTTGCCTATATACCCGGAATAGCCCACATCTCCCCTAATCTGCATCGGATGCACTCATAAATACGCTGCTACTCACAGAATGTTTCAGAGATATCAAGTTATGGTACTGTGTGCATTTCATCAAATGCTCGCAGTCAAACAACTAATAATATTGCGCGCCTCTGGTTCTTTTCCTGTGTTTGGTCTGGACTGCGTTCTCACCTGCATTGAACCGCACCACGGTTCGAATGGAATAGGACAGAGACCACTCTTTTTGAGCGAACCATAGTGCGTTGTTTAGTGCGCTCCCGAGTGTGGATAGAGTGTTCACACCAGTCCAAACTGACTAACTAAGGGGGAAACGTGCCAGAGTTAGGAAAGACCACTCCAAGCCAATGTGGTGTGAAAGCCCTCTAACTCACGTGCTTGTGTGTGTCTGATTATGTAATCTTGTGTGTGAAAACTCTAATCTTGGTTAATTAAATCAAATTGAGAAAAATACTAATACTGGTGTTGTGTGTCACTGAAAAAGCACTCAAGATCAATCAATTCCCCTCACTGAAATGTTACCCAATTGTGCCCAGTTGGAAGGGGGAAAATCCAAACTAGCTGTTATCAGAGGTTTGGAACTCTTTCTTATTGGTCTATTAACTAATTTACCACCTGGTGATGTCACCAGGCAGGCCAAAACTCCATCCCACCAAAATAGGCTGAAATTTCTGGCTACCTTTTTAAACAGCTCTTACACTAAAAGAGCATTATCATCATTTTCATAATTTCACAGTATGATTTCAACCTCATAGTGTGGAGATATACTGAGTGTACAAAACATTAGAAACACCTTCCTAATATTGAGTTGCACCCCCTTTTGCCCTCAGAACAGCCTCAATTCATCAGGGCATGGACTCTACAAGGTGTCGAAGGCATTCAACAGGGATGCTGGCCCATGTTGACTCCAATGCTTCCCACATTTGTGTCAAGTTGGCTGGATGTCCTTTGGGTGGTGGACCATTCTTGATACAGACGGGAAACTGTTGAGCGTGAAAAACCCAGCAGCGTTGCAGTTCTTGACACACTCAAAAAGGTGCGCCTGGCACCTACTACCATACCCCCATTCAAAGGCACTTAAATCTCTTGTCTTGCCCATTCACCCTCTGAATGGCACACACACAATCCATGTTTCAAATATCTCAAGGCTTAAAAATCCTTCTTCAACCTGTCTCCTCCCCTTCATCTACACTGATTTAAGTAGATTTAACAAGTGACATCAATAAGGGATCATAGCTTTTACCTGGATTCACCTGGTCAGTCTATGTCATGGAAAGAGCAGGTGTTCCTAATGTTTATACACCCAGTGTATATAAAACACAAGAAAATCATGTTTTTGACTGCACTAACTACAAAGTGCAAGCCAATGTTTAACCATGAGATGACATGCTATTGTGGATTTACCTTCAACAACAACACAGCTCTGCAATGATTTCAACATTTGTCCAATGATTAACTCCTGTGTTAACTAAGGCCGGGTGTAACGAATACTCAGGGAGAAAAGGGTGTAGATTCACGCGCGGCAGGTATTTATTTCGCCTTCACAGAAGGCTGGAATCGTGGTCACAGGCAGGCAATGGTCATACATAGGTAAGCAAACAGGCAGGTGAAACAAAACTAGGACTGAAGGCTAAAACTGGTTCTCACAAACGAGCTAGGAAAAGGCTTAGTAGAGTCAAAACAAACAATACCTCACAAGGCACAAACAGAAAGAACTGAACTAAATAAGGAGCTGATGAGACCAGGTGAGTAACTAACACAGGTGAAATCAATGAACAAAAATGAAAGACAGGGCTACGTTCAAGAACACAAAGAAACAGGGATACGTACAAGAACACAAGGTGAACTAAGACAATAAATAAAGAACCTTACACCGGGATTCAGTTAAAGAAGCATTGTCGACATTGTACTTGATTTCTAAAGGTAGTTTACGCTTGAGCCGACATCCGTAGTGTTTACCATGAATGTGATTCAAGAACATCAGGGAAATTCCCTTTAAAGACCCATTGACGGCAATGCACCTTTGATTGAATCCCAGATGAAATAAACATAATCGAACTCGACAAAATAAGAATAATATATTTTTTTACATTTGAGTCATTTAGCAGACGCTCTTATCCAGAGCGACTTACAGTTAGTGAGTGCATACATTTTTCATACTGCCATTTAGTAAACTCACTTCAGTGAAGTGAGTGCATACAAATAATTATTTCACTCTTAGCTGGTTCAGCTCTTCTTGTTCTCTAGTAAGAGACATAGTGCAGTGAAAGTGCATAAGAGGGCAGGCGGCCAGCCATCCTTCCTCTTTCAGTGAGAGAGTCATGCGCCATTAATAAGGAAGCTGCTTTCGTAACGCCCCCTCGCTCTCCTTGCATAAGTGTTATTGTCAGACGCTTAGTCAACCATAAATCCACCCCTCCCAATCCCCAAGTATCACGAGTGTGTGACAGCATGGGACAGGGGTGGCACATTGAGAACCTATAGCAGATACGTATTTCTCCTCTCTAGTTGTTTTTCTGTGGCTTTGTGGACAGTTTCTGATCGTGTATCTCTGAAGCTGTGAATTCCATGAATTGGAAAGAATACATCTAGTTGTAGTCAATTTTTGGTTGTTGCTATCTTTTATATTTTTGGAAGACTACAGCAACAGCTCCAGCATATTTGCCAGAATGCCATATCTTCATGCTGTGGGTTTGGCCCTTCTAGCTCTGGCAGGCTGGTGGTCCCTGTGTGCTGCTGATGTGGGGGACTTCGCTCCATGTCTGAACTTCTTCTACAGGTCTTGGCCCCCTAAGGGCCTGTCGGGGACCCCCATCTGTCAGCGCTATGGGAACCAGTACCACTTCGCCTCGCTATACAGCCGCCCACGACGCTCGCCATGGTTCTCTGCCTACATGTTCAGCCCGCCAGAAGGGAAGAGGCCCTCAGCAAACTGGAAGTTTGAGCCACAGGTAACAATTGACTTAAAAGGAAAGTTAATTATTTTAAAACTTGATGTTAGATGGTTCCTTACCCTGAAAGTAGTCTATCACCGTTAAGTGTGTCAAACCAAATAATTTAGCAGATAGCATTTGATTTGGCCATGATATTCTGGAAAATACACGGTTGCTCCTATCACTCCTATTGATTTTTAGCTAGCAATGCCAAAAGTTAGCTGATGTTTGTTGTGGCTGTTTAAAGTTAAAGGGATACTTTGGGATTTTGGCAATGAGGCCCTTTATTTACTTCCCCAGAGTCAGATGAACTTGTGGATATAATTTGTATGTCTCTGTGTCCAGTATGAAGGAAATTAGAGGTAGTTTCGCGAGCCAATGCTAACTAGCGTTAGAGCAATGGCTGGAAGTATATGGGCATCTGCTAGCATATCTGACTTCCAGTCATTGCGCTAGTTAGCATTGGCTCACATAACTACCTCTAACTTCCTTCATACTGGACACAGATACATAAAAATGGTATCCAGAAGTTCATCTGACTCTGGGGAACTACATAAATGGTATAATTGCCAAAATCCCGAAGTATTCCCTTTAAGTTGTAAAATTATGAACTAACCCTTGGAAGGGACATTACACCCCATAATCAAACTTTGTTAGAGGTTTTCAGACTACAAAGTAGTCTATTGACAAGATGAGTCCACGTCCCAAGCCATCTGTTTTGGAGATCCAGCTATATGCTATAATCTAAAATGAATAGAACAGGTACGCACCAAATAATTTCAAGATTTTCTCATATTTACATTAGACTACTTTGGAGTTATAAAAACATCTGACAAAATTAGATTTTAGAGTGTAATGTCCCTTTAATGAAATTGGGATTCAGAGGGTGATTAAACAGCCATCACAATCTATTGGTTTACGCATGACACTGAATTTCAAGCGTAACTGGAGTGTTCTGTACTAGATTAAAAAGAGGAAATGCTCAGTTTAAAAATGAGAACAGACACATTTGTGGTTGGCACAGAGCCTCATAATCTGCAGACGATTTTGTTTCTCAGTTCACTGAAACCAAAATGTACTGTGCCATGGTTTGTCACATGGGTTGTGTTTCCTGCCGGGTTAGGAGTGGTTGAGAAGTTTTAGTCAGAGAGAAGTTGAACAGTTATTTATGAAGTCCTCAAAAAACGAAGGGTGCCAAACTACATCTGCATTGGCCTGAAAATATGAAAATTCCTGCCATAAGCCTCAAGGCCATAGTACTAGTGCACTGGCTACTGACCGTCTGGGGCTGCATGGCCTGGCTGCCGTCCTCCTATGCCTGGGGTAACTTCAGTGTCCTGGCTGTGGGCGTGTGGGCCATCGCTCAGAGGGACTCCATTGATGCTGTACTTATGTTTCTGATTGGGATTGCAGTGACGATACTGACAGACATTATCCATTTTGGGATCAACTACCCGCTCATTGAGGGTCTATCTGAGAGGAACCGGGACACATTCCGCTTCAGTGCGGGCATGGCCATCCTGGGCCTGCTACTCAAACCTGTCTCCTGCTTCTTCATCTACCAAATGTACAGAGAGCGCGGAGGAGATTACAACGTCAACTTTGCAGGCGTCCCCAGTGTAACACAAAACAGAGATGCGTACCAGTCCATGGACCAGCAGGACCAGACCACCAGCTCAGCCAACCCCTAAAAGCCTGAAGCAGCAAACTCCTACTGAGAGACAGCACAGCACAGCACAGCACTCACTTTATTCTCTTGGAAATGCATGGTTTCATGAAGGAATCCATCACATCCATAATGTTTTTGGTAAATGATGTGTTTTTTCAAAGCCAATTCAGTCTTCTTTTCATATGGGTATCTGTCCTTTGTCTGTTATTCTGTGCTTCATTCAATTCCTTACCAATAATGTCCTGATCTAAATACTCACTGTCATGGTAAAATAATAGGACATGTATGCTTGATGCTCTGGGTAATGTCACACACTGGCATATGGAGATAACTCCTGAGTGGCGCAGTGGTCTAAGGCACTGCATCGCAGTGCTAACTGTGCCACTAGAGATCCTGGTTCGAATCCAGGCTCTGTCGCAGCCGGCCGCGACCGGGAGACTCATGGGCGGCGCACAATTGGCCCAGCGTCGTCCAGGGTAGGGGAGGGAATGGCCGGCAGGGATGTAGCTCAGTTGATAGAGCATGGCGTTTGCAATGCCAGGGTTGTGGGTTTGATTCCCACGGGGGGCCAGTATAAAAAAATATGTATTCACTAACTGTAAGTTGCTCTGGATAAGAGCGTCTGCTAAATGACTAAAATGTAAATGTCTTGTTGGGAAAGCCCCCACTTACTTCAACACAAGATAGCTTCTTCAAAAACGCTTCTAACCCTTAACGTTTCCCCTTTCCAGTTAGCCAACGCTACAGCAGACGGCAACATGATCCCCTTCCCTCTAGGTGAGCTGGACCCGAACGTGGTGAACAGCCAGGCTGTCCAGCTGGACTATATCAACTCCTCCTACACGCGGGGGCACCTCAACCCCAGCCTTCACCACCGGACCTACGAGGACCGCTCGTCCACCTTCACCCTGACCAACGTGGTCCCTCAGAAGGTCGGCTCCAACGACGGGCCCTGGGCGACACTGGAGAAACAGGTCAACCAAACTCTGGGGTCCTACTGCCTCGGTGTGGCCTATGTTGTGACAGGGGTTATTCCCTACCAGGACAACAAGCACTGGATCAAGGGTCATCGAGTGGCGGTGCCGGAGTACCTGTGGTCAGCCTACTGCTGCCCTAAGTACAACGAGAGTCTACTTAACAAGGTTCATCTTAGCAAGGTTTTCCCCACGTATGCTGCTATTGGACGCAACGACCCTAACAGCACAGAAGAGATTGTGCCCATTGTCAAAAGCAGTCACAAAAAGTTCTGGGGTTACGATGTAAGGCGTATGCCTCTGGATACGTTGGAGATGTACCTGAAGGAGCGATTGGGGACCGTCATCAGTGTGTTCTATGAAAAATGCTCTGGTTTACGATGACCAAATCTACCATATGCATATCTAATAGATGATCAAGTTCATGTTCTAAGGGAGATGTATTGTTATGAATCATGTGTGCATAGACAGCAAAATTACATTTTTTTCAATCAATTTGGCACTAATATCACAAGTAGTATGTCCTCAATTTTAGCACACATGTGCTCTTAAAACTGTCAGGATTGCTCAACAGTCTAGGTAAGAAGTAAATCATGGACATCAAAAATATGGTAACACTTTATATATAACAGTGTCAAAATAATGTAATACGCATTAAATGTGTCCCAAATGTCATAATAAGATGTCACTGAATGTCAAGCTACAAGAGAAGCATTGGAAACAGTTATGACATACACTCAGTTGCCAATTAATTAGGTACACCCATCTAGTATCGGATCAGATGCCCCTTTGCCTCCAGAACAGCCTGAATTCTTCAGGGCATGGATTCTACAAGGTGTGGCGTTCAAATGTTGCTCAATTGGTATCAAGGGACCCACGTGTGCCAGGAAAACATTCCCCACTCCATTACACCACTGCCACAAGCATGTACTATTGACACCAGGCAGGATGGAGCTATAGACTCATGGTTCTTACGCCAAATCCTGACTCTGCCATCAGCATGACGCAACCGGAACCGGGATTCGTCGGACCAGGCAATATTTTTCCACCCCTCAATTGTCCTGGGTTGGTGATCGCGTGCCCACTGGAGCCGCTTCTTCTTGTTTTTAGCTGTTAGGAGTGGAACCCAGTGACAACGACCGACGAGTTGTGTGTTCCGAGATGCCATTCTGCACACCACTGTTGTACTGAGCCGTAGTTTGCCTGTTTGTGGCCCGCCTGTTAGCTTGCACGATTCTTGCCATTCTCCTTCAACCTCTTTCATCAATGAGCTGTTTTCGCCCACAGCGCTGCCGCAGACTGGATGTTTTTTGTTTGTCGCACCATTTTCGGTAAACCCTAGACACTGTCATGCATGAAAAGCCCAGGAGGCCATCCGTTTCTGAGATACTGGAACTGGCAAGCCTGGGACCAACAATCATACCACTCTCAAAGTTGCGTAGGTCACTAGTTTTACCCATTCTAACGTTCAATCGAACAGTAACTGAGGTTGTGTCTACACTTGACACTTACATGCGACTTCTGCTATCAGAATACGAAGTTTGCATTGAAAAGACGGGTCTAGACCCACAAAAGTCGCTTTGTGGTCTGATTGAGTTCAGATCTGGCTGACCACTTCGAAAGCGCATACAGTGGGTGACGTCATCAGCACTCCTCCCACAAATCTCCTTGGAGGAAATACGTTCCTAGCGTGTGAGGAAGGTGTTTGCTGGCCTCATAAATGCTAGCCAGCTAGCTAATATTTAGAAAAACAATTTTTGGTTTGGCTAACCCGTTTGCAATCTCTTTAGCATTGCTTGCTAGCGTGCTGGCTAGCTAAAGAGGTTAGCTGGCTAGTTAGCTACAGTAGTTAGCTACTTCCATTAGTTGTTGTTGTGTTATTATCATATTTTGCCTATTCCATCATTTGTAGAATGCATACTAACATTTGAATATAGCGCTCAGCATCCGCTGAACTTTAATGCAACTAGATATTTAACCCTGTTTAAAATGGGCAATGATGAGTTGGTAGAACGGACAAAGTAAAAATGAATCATAGAGGTCTTATAACCTATTCCATTTTACAGGTAAACATGCTTGGCTTATGTCTGTTATTTCCATATAGGCTATGTAGCTATTTGTGAAAAAACTGCCCATTATTAAATTGGTGAAATTATTTCATTTAGCTTTTATTTGTATGACTCTTTTTATTCACTTAGCTACAATACTTACTTTTTCTTTTGATGTTGCATTGTCGAGAGGTTACCCTACAAGTAAGCATTGGATTGCACTGTGTACCTTAATTGGGGAGGACGGGCTCGTGGTAATGGCTGGAACGGAATCAGTGGAATGGTATCAAATACATAAAATACATGGTTTCCATGTGTTTGATGCCATTCCATTGCTACATTCCAGCCATTATTATGAGCCGTCCTCCCCTCAGCAGCCTCCACTGATGACAAATAAACAAACTTGAACTTGAACGTAGAAGGGAAGGGGGAGGGCAGCCAGAAAGAGAGGGGAAAAGATGGCTAACTTTGTGGTTAGATTGTAGGTGAACAAAACATTGAAAATACATAGGCCCATAAGTTATGTGTCCTCAAATATGTCATCTAAAAATGTAACATTAGCTGGTAGAACTGACAAAATGAAATGAATCATAGAGGTCTTATAACTTATTCCATTATAAAGGTATTTTTTTTGCTCATGTCTCTTTATTTTCATATACTGTAGCATAGGGGCTATGTAGCTTCTTATCTGTCATGTTTGGAGTTGTGTTGCGCTGTTATGTGGACACTTGAATTTGTCTTTACAGTTGAGTTGCCCTGGTCGTATCAGTATACAGTAATTTTAAAGAGCAACTGCCCCTTAAAACCAACTTCTCATTTAGAAAACAGCCTATGTGACATCGATATGAGTCAGAAACATTTATTCTACTGCAAAATTGACTACAAAGTGTAAATAGGATAATTTTGGTCATAAAGTCAGTAAATTAAGGTTGGGTTTGTTTCAATCCTGCCCACATGCCCACATGCCCACAGCTGGCAGCACACAAGTTATCATCAATTTGGAGTGCAGCTGCACGTGACCCATCGTAATGCCTCTGGTAAATTTGGGTTGACTTTGGATATCCCTATGGGGCTAATTAGAGACCATCTGTTAATTACACAATGTACATGGGACTATATGTAAAAATTCCAATAGCTCCAAACTTCAATGGCTTAAAAACCTCAAACCTAAACAATAAAATTGTAGAAATTCGTATAGAAATATTAAAGCATTTCATAAGAAAACTAAAAGGTGTGCAACATGAAAAATCGTCTCATTTACATTGTGTAATTTATTGATGGTCCCTAACTAGCTCTGGAGATAGGCTATCCACAGTCAGGTCGCACAGCAGGCTGAAGCTATGCTGAACAAAAATATAAACGCAACATGTAAATTGTTGGTCCCATGTTTTATGAGCTACTGGCTTTGGGCTAAGCCCCCAGTGTCTTAAAATCCTAGCAATTCCCCTGCTTAAAGGAGTATAAATAAAATATTTGATAATGTGAATCATACTAGCCACACTTGATTATAAACCATGAAAGTTAGCCATTACATTTAATAAATAATAACAATATCTACATCATAATATTGGCATAGTGACTGTAAGCTCTGGTTACTAAGACACAGTTTACTGGACCTGAACCCGATCGAACATTTCTGGAGAGACCTGAAAATAGCTGTGTAGCAATGCTCCCCATCCAACCTGGCAGAGCTTGAGAGCATCTGCAGAGAAGATGTGGGAGAATGGGAGAAACTCCCCAAATACAGGTGTGCCAAGCTTGTAGCGTCATACCAAAGACTCCACGAGGTTGTAATCGCTGCCAAAGGTGCTTCAACAAAATACTGAGTAAAGGGTCTGAATACTTATGTAAATATGATATTTCCGTTTTTTATTTTTAATACATTTGCAAAAAATTCTACAAACCTGTTTTTGCATTGTCATTATGGAGTATTGTGTGTAGATTGAAGTATCACGTTTCAGGAGAAGACCCAGATGCAGACAGTGTCGAAGTAATCAAAGTTTATTACAAAAACAGGGGGCAGGCAAACGACAGGTCTAGGGCAGGCAGAGGTCAGTAATCCAGATCAGAGTCCAAAAGGTACAGAACAGCAGGCAGTCTCAGGGTCAGGGCAGGCAGAGGTCAATAATCCAGGGTGGTGTGACAAGGTACAGAACAGCAGGCAGGCTCAGGGTCAGGGCAGGCAGAATGGTCAAAACTGGGAAAACTAGAAAACAGGAACTTGAGAAAGACAGGTGCAAGGGCAAAACCGCTGGTAGGCTTGACGAAACAAAATGAACTGGCAATAGACAAACAGAGAACACAGGTATAAATACACTGGGGATAATGGGGAAGATGGGCGACATCTGGAGGGGGTGGAGACAATCACAAAGACAGGTGAAACAGATCAGGGTGTGACATGAAGAGGGGAAAAAACTATTTAATCCATTTTAGAATAAGGCTGAAACGTAACAAAATGTGGAAAAAGTCAGAGTCTGAATACTTTCCGAATGCACTGTATATGGAACCTTTTTTTGAAGGTTCTATAAAGAACCATGCTTATACGGTTCTAAATGGAACCTGCATGGTGCTATAAAGAACCTTTCCTAAGGTTCTATAAAGAACCATTAAAATATATTATGTATAGCACCAACAAAGGATTGTGCTATGCGGCAGGTAGCTTAGTGGGTAAGAGCGTTGTGCCAGTAACCGAAGCATACTACATACTCAATTTACGTCACATATAGTATGGTTAGTGCAGTTAGTATGAGTATTCGAACACACCTATGGTTCTCACCCCCTTCCATAGACTCACACAGTAATTATGACAACTTCCGGAGGACATCCTCCAGCCTATCAGAGCTCTTGTAGCATGAACTGACATGTTGTCCACCCAATCAAAGGATCAGATAATTAATCTAGTACTGAAAGCATAAGCTACAGCTTGCTAGCACTGCAGTGCATAACATGTGGTGAGTAGTTGACTCAAAGAGAGAGAAAGACAATAGTTAAACAGTTTTGAACAAATGTAATTTCTTCCAAAATGAAGGAGAAGCAAAAGAGAAATAGAGAGAGAGATTTCGTTATTTCTTTTCACTTTCAGTTTCACTTACTTAGCTAGCAAATGCACCTATCTAGTTTAGCCTACTGAAACACCCTGCTCAAACAGAAGGATGCTATGTTAGCTAGCTGGCTATGACTTTCCAACACAACACTGGAACTCAAGTCAAGGTAAGCTTTTGGTATTACTAATTTATTGCCACCGGGGCCCACCGGTGTAACTGCTTACTGACTGTACATTAACGTTACTGCATGATTGTAGCGGGTTTACTAACACGTTAGTTCTATTAGCTGTAG